AGAAGTGAAACCACAAGAGCGAGATCTGAGTCTCAAACGATGATGGACGCGGCTCTCGGAGTCAAGGAGAGAAGGATCTGGCATGCGAGACAACCTTGTCTATTGATGACGAGAGATCGCTAGTTGAGAGAGAATATGAGGAGGGACTTTGATGGTGATGGGGATCTATGGCTTTTGTACATTGGCCTCGATTAAATAATGGAGATTTGTACTACGACGCGATGTAGACATTTAGTGAATAGCAAAGAGAGCGGTCAACGACCTTTGATACTATGAAGAAGTCCCTGTAAAAGAGTCTGTTTATTTATCTTGACATGCTTTGAAGTAGATGACTACCCTGCAGTAGCGCCTAGAAGTGAGTACCCTTCCATGCATCCGATTCATTGTCGCCACTTTTTAGTCTTGTATCGAGACATTGAATAACGAGAACATGCCACAAATTTCACGTCAGCGACTTAAACTTTGATGTACTCTTTACTCTCTGACTGTCCGATCACCTGATAATCAGCGTCCGCGTGTGCCGTGCAGTGTGGCTTTATAAGTTGACTCAACGGCGTCATATCCCGAGTCAGCTCCGGCTTGTAGCGGCAAAGATTTTGGATTTTTATATCGGACGCCGAAGACCAAGCTTATCGGAACTTGTTCTCATCTACTGACCTAGGCTTCAATCTGGACCATTCTCCCTCAACCAGACTCTCCTAATACGTTTGAGATAATTCTGGACTATGACTACAGGCTCAGAGCCCTCGGTTGGGGCGCCGAAGCGGATTCTTTTTATTGATGCCTTTGATTCGTTTACATTCAATATCGTCTCACTGCTCCGTCAAATTCTCGGCGCTGATATCTTCGTCATAAGAATCGACCTCTCAGTGGTTGATAGAGTCAGCGACGATGATACACCCGCAAAATGGACAGAGCAAGAGTTTATCGATAATCTTGCTCAATTCGACGCCGTAGTTTGCGGGCCGGGCCCTGGATCACCGCTTAATCCAGAAGACGTTGGGGCGTTCAATCTTCTTTGGGATCTCCCTGAGCATCTTCAACTGCCAGTTTTGGGCATTTGTCTTGGATTTCAGAGTTTGCTTGCTGCGCATGGTGGGTCAGTGAGAAGACTCAAGAGGGGTCTTCACGGGATGGTGAGGGAGATTGAGCATCGAGGAGAAGACATGTTCTGCGGAGTGCCTCCCTTCAAGGCTACTCTATATCACAGTCTCTGTGTTGATATTGGCCAATACAGCGATGACTGGACAGAAGAGAACCGGTGGCGGCCGACTTCGGAGTTTTCACCACTGGCATGGGCAACAGAGTTTAGAGATGATGGGCGAAGAGAACAGATCCTCCAAGGTGTGAGACACAACAAGAAGCCATTCTGGGGCCTTCAGTACCACCCTGAGTCTGTCTGCACGGAGAAGAATGCCCAGGGAGTCCTCATCAACTGGTTCCAAGCCGCGCTGCAATGGAACAAATATCATGGACGACGAGTACAGGGACCTTTGCTAGAGATTCAGACTCTTTCGCCACCAAATCACCTGGAGTCTGCAGCTGCGCATAAGGAACACCTGGGCGATTTGTGGTTGAATTTAAACTCCCCTGAAACTTCGCTGAGAGACTTTGCAAATGGGTCTGAATACACACATCGCAAAATCACCTTGCCTCAGGGGGCTGGCGTGCCAGAACTCGTCGAGATGCTGGGGTTGGCAAAGGGAGAAAACATTATCCTTGACTCGTCGAGTTCTAAGAACGGAGATGCGCTAGCATTGAACAGCATCATAGCTCTCGAAGTTGACAATACGCTGCGGTTCGAGTACAACGTATGCGATGACTATGTTACGGCACGGCTCCCGAGTACAGACGGAAAGGATAAAACCGAGATGATAAGCCTCAAAGACGGCAAAGTCACCGTATGGGAGGTTATATCGGACTTCTGGGAGGCGCGAAGCCATCCTCCTGGATCTGACCGTTCAACTTCAGCTTTCAAGGGCGGTTTCATGGGATTCATCACCTATGAGATGGGACTACATGGCCTCGAGAAGAAGATGGTCCCGGAAGATCGAGGCCACAAGAGACCGGACATTTGTCTAGCCTGGGTAACGAAGAGCATTGTTCTTGACCACAGAGCTGGCGTTGCATTTGTTCAAAATCTGAAGGCTCGAGGATCAAACGATGCATGGCTTGATAAGATAATGGAAAGAATTCAACAGTCCGACTATTGGAATGCGACCAAGATGAGAAACGGAGTCAATGGGCATGTCATCGAAAACCGTGCCCAGGACAAGGAAATCAATATCACAACACCACAGCCAGACAGGTATGAAGAGCAAGTTCGTGTTTGCCAGGATTTCATTGCAGCGGGTGAGTCTTACGAACTTTGTCTCACATCGCAAACGACCATGGCAAGGCCTTGTTCAAGAAACAACGGGAGAAACCCATGGGCCATATATCAGACCTTGAGAAAGCGACAGCCGGCTCCTTTTGGGTCTTTCATCAGTCTTGGTGGCGCCACGATGTTGAGTTGCTCTCCTGAGCGTTTCCTTCGATACGACAGCAACGGACTATGCTCAATGAGGCCCATGAAGGGAACAGTTCGCAAGTCAGAGGCTGTGTCAACTCTCGCGCAGGCTGAGAAGATCCTTCATGTGCCAAAGGAAGTGGCTGAGAACCTCATGATTGTCGATCTGGTTCGCCATGATCTACATGGTGTCTGTGGCGTTGGCCATGTCACAGTTCCTGACCTCATGAAGGTAGAGGAATATGCCACGGTCTTCCAGATGATCACTGTGGTCAACGGACAACTCCCAGGCCGCAACGGAAATAAGCCTCATGGCGCTCGCCGAAGCAGCTTTGACTCTCACTGCCCTTATACCGGGTTGGATGCCCTTGCCGCGGCTTTACCTCCTGGAAGCATGACAGGGGCGCCAAAAAAGCGCAGCTGCGAGCTTCTACAGATCATTGAGGGCAAACATGAGCGAAGTCTCTACTCTGGTGTTGTAGGATATATGGATGTCGCAGGTGCAGGAGACTGGAGTGTCACAATCCGAACCATGTTTAGATGGGACGATGAGACGGCTCCAGCTGAAGAGGGCGAGACAGAGCCCAGAGAAGTTTGGAGAATTGGAGCTGGAGGTGCGGTAACAATCCTGAGTACCCCTGAAGGTGAAAGGGATGAGATGTTTACCAAACTTGCCGGTCCTATGGGTGTATTCAGAGACGCGGCATAACTTGGATCTCAACCAAGAGGCTAGATTGGATTAGATGGATGGGCAGGCGCAGCATTTGACTTTGGACATGATACCTCAACGTACACATCGTCGGAGTTTTTGGTTTGGAATTCAACAACATAGACGGATGGGATAGGACCGAAACATCGGGAACATAGCAGAAGATGATACGATATATTCCTCGTAAACAAGGATACCTTTGACGACCGACTATAACCTCCCTTTGCCGTCCTGAAGCCCAAGGATTCCCCTTGCGAATAGCCGAGACTGACGTGAAGACCCCGCTGAATGCCCATGTGACTCCTTTGTCCTCTGTGATCATACACGCGTTATACAGGCTTTATACTAGCGATTATCCTCCTCTTCCTGAAACGCAACATTCTGTATCCATCTTTGGCTCGGTAACTCCGAGTGTTTCTGGTTTATGTGACTCCGTATTGCGCGCGCATTTAGAAATCTTGCTCCTCGTGGAAAAACATGCCGAAGCTGACAATGGTTCCGTAGATCAATAGACCGCCGATTATGGACATAACCATGGCTTGCACCTCGATGAGACCAGAGTGAGCGAGAACGACAGGGAGAGCTATGTAACAGTCAGCCACGTGAGTTCCAGCATGGTAATCATTCCATTAGCATCAGCAGCGTTGCGCCGGCGGAGCAGGACTTACCAATTCCCATAACAACAAAGAAACCTGTAAAGAAGCGTCCCAAGTCTAGAACCGCAGCGCCAGAGCTCTCCACGAAGTCATCAGGGTTGGCGCAGTGTCCGCAGATCCAGTTGGGAATAGGCGCAATGACATAGGTAGCGACGACGAGGAGAGGATAATACACCTTCCACAGAGCGCAGGAGAGAATAACGAGGAGGAATCCAACGGCGAGGACGAAGGAGAGGGCGATGATGGTCTTGAGGCCGGCGGTCGGCATCTTGGGCGATGGTGTTTATGGAGCTGGAGAGGACGAGTTATGCGGCGATGTCGGCGACGTAAGCTCCCCGTGGGGAGATGAAGGAAATTTGATCGGGTATAGAAGAAATATCGAGTCGTAAGTGGCGAAGCGACTGGTTGTGTTGGACGCGACCGGAAAGGAAGTTCGTTGAGGTTGTGTGTGTTACGCGGCTACAGTAGGCCAAGGTCCAAGATGATGCTATCCCGGCTTGTCAACCAGGTACGTATTCGTTTCCAGGTTCACCACCAGGACGGGAGCGCAGTCAGCTATTCGGAAGTACTATTTCCCGAAGCCAAGTGGGTATTGAAAATGGAACGCTGTAAGTGGCTGTTATGAGTTCTGTTGGTGGGTTAGTAGGTTAGTGGGTTAGTGGGTTAGTGGGTCGCCTTCTTATCTGATAGCGCAGTCAAGTAAAAAAAAACTCCAAAAACTCCAAGATCTCTCTACCTTGCTCATCGCATTCGCAAACGACATATCACCATCCAGGTTCAACAAAGATATCCTGGGCCCGGATTGACAGCGTATTGTCGATAGAGCGCCAGTATCTCTTGTTCTGTACGGCGCCACGAAAATTCGCCTCATCTTTGTCTGCCATCTACATTTTGCTGTGGCTTTCTCTATATCCTCACTCTCAACACGGCACGATCTCAATAACCTCGCCACCAATTCTCGAATTAGCTATCACTCTGCTTAGTGATAATAACTGTGCTGTCTAAACGGTGTTACCAGCCCCACACCCTGAACCATTGCCGTCTTCCGTCTGGTCGGAGACTTGGACAAGACACAACACCAACAACAAACTATCACCACACCAGGACCAGCTACCCCGTTCTCACGATGAGCTTCAGTGGCTGCAGTGACGAGCTAGTCTGGCAAATTATAGGACAACAATTCTGCGCCTTTAAGATCAAGTAAGTTCTTGCTTCCTTCCCTGCCCTTCCTGGATCCTCAAACTCGGACGAGAACCAACCATGAGTCGAAGATCATGCTGACTTCTTATCCAGAACCAACAAAGCTCAGACATTCTGCCGCAACGAGCACAATGTCACAGGCCTGTGCAATCGTCAGTCATGTCCTCTCGCGAACTCGCGATACGCTACAGTCAGGGAGCATCAAAATCGATTGTACTTGTTGATCAAAACTCCAGAGAGGGCCCATCTCCCAAGCAAACTTGTAAGACTTCAGGTAATTATACAAGGTGACAAGATGCTAATCATAGTCATAGTGGCAACGTTACAAGCTGCCCAGCAACTACTCCAAGGCATTGTCCATGATAGACGAGAAGCTTATATACTGGCCTAATTTCCTCATTCACAAGTGCAAGCAACGTCTCACCCGCTTGACACAGGTTCAAACTCGCATGCGTCGTATTGCGGCCGAGGAAGAACGATTGGGTGAAAAGCTTGTTCCTAAGATGGCACCTAAGATCAGACACCGTGAGCAGGCCCGTGAGCGCAAGGCCGAGGCTGCTGCCAAGCTGGAACGAACCATTGAGCGCGAGCTTGTTGAGCGTCTTCGACAGGGCGCTTACGGTGACCAGCCTCTCAATGTCAGCGAATCCATCTGGAAGAAGGTACTTAATGCCATGGAGCGTGACGGCGAGGGCCAACGTGACAAGGACCTGGACAGGGGTCTTGACGAGAACGGCGAGGAGGCTGAATGGAGTGAGGAGGAAGACGACAACCTGGAGAACCAGGTTGAGTATGTTTCCGATATCGAGGAGAGTGACGAGGAGCTCGGCGACCTTGAGGACTGGCTCGAGAGCGAAAATGAGGAGGAGGACGAAGATGAGGATGATGATGATGACAGCGAAGAGTCCGAGACCGAGAAGTCTGGCAACAAGCGAAAGCGTGGACGTGCCATCAAGATGAAGAACAAGAAGCCCAGGCAGGAGGAGAAGAAGGAGAAGCTGATGCTCACCAACGATCTCACATGGTAATTGACGGTCTCAAAAATCAGGCTTCGGCGTTTGAGGAGTTTGTATTTTCTCAGCAAGACGGAAAAAAAGGGGTTTATGAAGGGTGAAGCATATGTCAATATGTTCCTTTTGTCTGAGGATATCGCATGGCAATATGCTTCATTTTTGCTGAGCTAATTCTTGGCAAGGTATAGATACCAAAATAGGTTGCCAATGCTTTTATATGAATTTGCTGTACTTGAGACGTTTTGAAACCATTTGCCCTTTCATGCTTGTTATGGGTCTTGTCACTTGTGAGAGAGAGGGAGAGGCTCTGTTGAGACAAAAGCTTATGTACCTACCTAGGCCTTGCTCCACTCCCGAGTCCTACAATTGCCCCGCCCAAACCTACAGCGCATTTTAGTTCAGGCACCTATGAAACTCTCCCAGCCCACTTCCACTCCAAGAATCCCTTTCTAAACGTCACCCGACTGCTTCACCTCCCATCTTCTGTCTTCGCTCTTCAGATAGGCCATCTCTGACCTTCTTGACTCCGACAGTACCTCTCTTACAACCCTGGCTTATCACGACAGCAGCTGGCTGCACCACCTAATCAACTGCGACAGCGACAGAACATTGCGCTCACCCCTCGGACCTTCAATTACAGCTTAAACCATTCTCTTGGTTTCGTTACCGCTTCCTCATCTCACCTCAAGCAAGCCCATCGTGCGATAGGGCGTAGCTTCATTTCACTTTAATAACCATCGATGCGAAACTCTACGAACATATTAGCTAGAAAAGATACACTTTAACACAACGCATCATGGCGTCCTGGTATTCAAACCTTGTCCAGAAGACATCTTCTCAAATCTCCTCTCTCCGCCAGACTCTTCTCTCCAGCGAACAAGACGGCGACTCCGAAGACGATACTCACGTCTGCCGCGTTCTTCGTGGCTATTACACAGAAAAGGGGCGCCCATTCCCCCCATGGCTGCCCGCGGATCCCAAGGCACCAGCCCAACAACCCATACAGCCCGTCATGACACCACAAGCAGGCCAGCGCCCCGGCGCTCCAGGCCAGCAACACGGAGGTCTGAGTAGTCTATGGGACAACGGACCGCAACAGCCACAACAACAAGCGCCTCAGAGTCTTCGGGCTGGAGGTGGACGAACACCTGCCTCGTTGCAACCTGGCGGCGGCGGCGGTGATATTAATAGGCGACCACTACCAAGTCAGCAGCGCGCGGGTAGCTACCAGAGCACGGGCGGTCAATTCGGTAGGCCCGAAACGGCGAGCGTGCCACCTGGTGGTGCTTCAGGAGGTGGAGGTGGAGGAGGAGGATCTGCGCAAGATAGATTGCGACAGAGGCTTTGGGGAGGAGGATCGCGAACAACGAGTCCTCAGGCTGGAAGTCAAGGACCTTTCAACCCTCCCGGTGGAAATAATGGAGGAGGAGGTGGAGGAGGGGGTGGTGGTGGCAGTGGCGGTTATGAAGATCGATTTGCGCCAGGCGGAATGTATGATCAAGCAAGTGGTGGCGGTAACGCTGGGCTGAGGAGAGGAGGCTTGCCCAGCGGACCAAGGGGATACAGATAAAAGACCCTTCTTGTAAGAAGAAGATGAAGCATACGTTGGATGTCTGGCGTTTATACGTTCCTTGATAGGATAGAGCGGCGTTTTACCTGGTAATATGGAATTTTGTTTACTCCATGTTACATCCTGTACCAAAGAATCTTGATATGCATCTTGTGTATTCAGACCCGATGGTAATAAAGGGCTTCGTATATATATATCAAAAACATTGCTGACTTACCGTCGTACCATGAACTCCTTGCCAGAAATTACTGAAACCAAGAAATTCCCAAAACATAAAAATGGATGCAGCGGACGTTAATCAACAGCACCTCAACTACTTGTTCTCAGCTCCTCATTTGTTTGGCATACCATCGCCCTTTTGCGCAACTGTCTTCCTCGGGAGCACTTCCACCTCCTTGCTTAATAGTTTGCGCAACTCAGGCGTAATCGTCTTTGGCTGCGGCGGAGGCGCCGTTGGCTCAGCAGCTTTGTCCTTGCCAGATGCCTTGCCACCCTTGGATGGCCCTGATTCGGTCTGCTCAGAAGATTTTGACGGTTCCTTCTGATTGTACCGAGGAGCTGGGAAGTTCTGTTTCTTGTCGACAGCATCAACAAGTCGCTGGAACCTCTTGAAGAGGGTTTCTGCCCGGATCAGAGTCGCCTCAAGATCGATTGTGTTGGAGAGTTCATTGACTGTTTAACGTTAGCATTGTGATCAGTGTCCTTATTAACCAAAGTCACTCACCATATTTGAGCACCTCATCGAAATGCTGCAAGTGCTCCATAATGACATCGCGATGTCTCTCAAGAATCGCCAGTGCAATAAAGAGGTGGAAGTTCGCGCTCATATAATCAGTCCACAACCCCTCCCATAATCGAAGAACGTCAAGCCAGGCAAACTCCCGCTTATACCAAACAAGTATCATGCGGAAGAAGAAGAAAAAGTTGGTGCTGTCTGCCTTTTGTAGATGGTTCCAGAGTGCTGGGTCCATGAACTGAACCAATTGGTCCAGAGTCAGAAGCTGGTTACGCATGCCAGACTGATCACGCAGAAAGTTGCGTTCCATACGCTCCATGAACTTCTGGAAACCCCAGAATGCAACGGCATCGTCTTGGATCACTGCGTAGATTGGTGCCAATAGATCTGACATACCCTGAACATAGCCTAGGTCCTTATTGTACTCGTTGTAAGTCAGGAGCATCTCCTTCATCTGCTCAAGGTGGACGTTGGTGCCAACTTCGGCAAAAGGTGAGCTTGGGTCAGGATGGGGAATATCCTCGCCCATGAAAATGGGCACATTGCGGTCCGTTCGGTGGACATCTTTTTCTGTAGACAAATTGTAAGTTTACTCCTCGGGAGAGAAAGGCTGAAAAATGGTGAGCAACTTACCGATTCGTCCCTTTTGCTCGCGCCACCACTCTCCGGCGTCGCCTTCACCTCCATCACCTTCGAGCCTCTCCCACCACGAAAGCTTGAGCTTGTAGTACTGGTCACGTAGTGAAGCGATTTGTGCCTTTCTCTCATCAGCAGTGCTATACCATTCATAGACGCCAAGAAGGAAAAGCCACGCTTCCTTTCGAACACCATCCTCAGGGTCAAGACCTCCGTGAAAGACACGCTCCTTGACCTCATCGATAGTGATCGATAATCGGCCAGTTTGAGGGTCGAAGAAGGTATTCCACTCCTTCATTGTCACAGTCTTTCGGCGTTCCTCAAGTGAAAGGTTGCTGGCTCCTTCGAGAAGCTCAAATTCGCCAACATCGGTATCCTCAAGCTCCATAACATCATTAGCAGACCATATCCTCTGTCTCCTATCACGGTCGCTCTGTTCCTGTATGCCCATAGCCCAGCGAGCGAGATAGATCCTGGCGCTGTCGAACTCGTCTTGAAGCGTCTGAACTTCCGGATTTCTCAAGAGCCGTCTTACTTGGGGAGGTAAGTTCGGGTTCTCAACAATATCTTGAGCCGCTCTCCGGGTAAAGGTGGTTACTTTGCTGAATTTCTCCATAATATTCCATCCAGTTTCCTTGATCAACTTGACGAAAGGGTCCATCTCTGCATCTCGATTTGACGGTCCTCCGGCGCGGCGCTGCGTTCCCACATTGCTATCCTGACGACCAATTTGTGATGGGCTGGAAGTGAGTTTGTGGCCGAATGCTTCGCTATCCTCCTTTGATGGCTCGATTAAGTAGATGTTGGGTTCAGCACCAGATCGCTCAATCTTGACGTAACGACGTAGCCACTTCACAACCTCATCGCCACCCCAGAACATCTGTCCTGATTCTCCAAAAGGATCAAATGTATCACGCGCGATCTTCTTCTTTTGAAGGATCGTGCTTTGGCACTCATTGTCATGGAAGAAAAGGGCGGGAAAGCTATCGCCCGCACGGGAGTTGATGATGACGGATCCATACCACCAGCCGAGGCTCGGAGGCCGAACGAGGAGCGAATAAACGGCGCTCACAGGAATTGCAAACGCATATCCACCGACAGATCCAACATGGCTAGTGACGGTCGGCGGGGGAGGAACAAGGTAAGACTGTTTCGGGGGTGAGTCTCCATCGCAAAGGTCAACCTTGACGTAGATGCTGGCGGAATCTCCAAGGGCAGATTCGGGGATCCAGGCAAGAAGCAGATCCGAGGAGGCGATCGTGGCTGATTCATTGGAAGCGGATGAAGTAGGACGTTCTTCGTGATGGCCTCGTTGCTGGAGAAGTGCGATGTATCCTGGAATGTTGTCCTTTGAAGAGGGTGTTGGGTGAACATAAACCTGCAATTGTCAGATGTCGTCCGTCATTCTGCAGCGCAACCTCTTACGCAGGACATAGGCTCGGGTGTTACTGACCTTGCTCTTGGAAAAGAGAAGCTTTACACCTCTTCCAGTCTCGGCATTTCTGATAGTGTTGTACTCGCCCTCCTCATCATCGCTCAGCGCATAGAAACTGTTTGATGGTGACGCAGATCGTCGCGAAGGCTGCTGTGGCGGGGCATCAGCTGCCCCAGAATCCTGCTGCGACATGGGAAGAAAGTAGTAGAGCTGTCGCTTTCAGCAGCTTTCAGCAGCTTTCGTCTTGAATAGCCTTTGTCCTCGGCTTCTCTTTTATTCAGAGTCACAGCCAGATTTTTGAGTATGAAGTAACGGTATATAAATGGTGACGATTAAAAAAAAAAGAAAGATGAAGAATAAGGTAGTTCAGGTGGTGGCATGTGAGTAGACGCAAGCAAGCGAAAGGCAGCTGTCTGTCTCTTGCCCAAACGGATCACAGATGACGACGTGCCCCGCCACAGAAGCTCCCCGCCCCATCTTAGCAAAGGTACCTGAACTGGTGGCTGTATCTGCTGTCAAACAGCGCAGTTTTAGCAGAGACACATGTACCCGTGCTCATAAGGCTTACCAGAAAAGTATCATGACAGCAGTTTATTGGTGGGAGCTGAAGTTCAGCTTGCGTCGTCACGAGTATGAGG